AACCCAAAGACTGTTGCTCTCTGATACATGTCCTCCTTGAATGATTGAGACATGATTTGACATTAGAAAGTTAGAATTAGAAAGTTTTGAATTTATATATGCAGCTGGTGATATTGGATTTACTGTGTTGATCTTGAAGAAAGACATTTTAAAGGCCAATATTCATGGAATCTGAAGAGGCGGGGAAGTAAATACTGAGCCTCTTGATGGTAGTGGCAATTTTTGGGTGGAAACCAGTCATAACAGAAGGTCATTTTGGTAGTAGATGTATCATGTGATGTTGTAGTCTTAATCCATCCAATGAAGTGTGAGATGGGATACTTTTTACTATTTTTTTTTCTTTTTCTCCGAAGGTTTTAACACCAGAGAAAGAGTAGATGACAAAAGAAAAGAAAGAAAGGTGTTAAAATGAGTGCTGGAGTGACTGGCATGTGGTTTGAGGGTGTCACTCTTGGCCTGAGTGTTATTTGTGCAAAATATGATGGTACATTAAATTGGCAATTTTTTTTTTTTTTTTGAGTTACCTGTTAATAAGTTACAGCAATGATTTCCTAAATGAGGCTGACCTCGCAGGGCTTGTTATGTAAAATACTCTTTAAATCCTATTTGAATTAATTATCTATCCCTGGATACTCAACTGGCGTACAACAGTCTTCTGAGAAGTACCTATGTAGATGTTGAACAGTGGCGCTTAGCCAGTGATTTCGTGGATAAATAGCAAATGGTTCAGAATATTTTTCAGCTGATGAGGTTGTCAATGGAGAAGGAACCTGGCAGGAGAAAGGAGGAAGATATCAAATATATCCTAGGCGCATTTAGAAAGTTACTTTCTCTGAGTTAGTTTACAAATCAAAATAAACATTGTAGAGTGTCTGAAAGAAAAGTAATTTTTATTTTGCGTAACAAGAGCCGAAGTCTGCTGTTTATTTTGCCTGAGGAGAAAAAGAGAGAGATTTATTTTTAAACTTGTAGCATAAGATAATAGTAAGCAGGACCAGCAAGCTGCATGTCCTTTGCACATGTGTATATAGAGTTAAGGAGGAGGAAGAAGAATGTATGTTTCCACCTTCCTCAAAATCCCAAGGGCTGGACACAGCATCGATACGCTGCTATCCAGCAAGAAAGCCTTAATGACCGTCTCAGATAGCTGTTTCTTTGTTCAGTGGAGCATAATTATAAAATGCTGCTACAGCAGTCAGTTCTTCTCCAATAACCTCCTCTTTTGTTGTCTCGTGGAGGCACAACTTGATGCAAAGTTCACCTAAAATCAGTAACAGTATGGCCTTCCAGCTGGAGGGAAGAATTGGTGCATATGGCCCTTCAAGAAAGGAAGGAAGAAAAAAATATGATTCATCTCTTTCTACCACTATGCAATGTTAATTAGTAGAGAGTTGGAAACAAGCACATAAAAAAAAAGTACAATCTACATTCCCTTGAGAATGATGTGATGCTGGCAGAAAAGTAGTATGTTATTTCATATGCTTTTTTATGTGTGCTTTATGTAGATTAAATAATTCTCATTATTACTCCACACACATTCTTGTTCTCCTTATCCCCAAGCTACAGTATATGTCCCAATGACCATTTATCATCACCTTTAATGTTATAAGAGATTTGTAACACCTTCAGTGTTATAAGACATCCCCAACTGAACACCAATAATAGCAGCAATGACATAAAGGAGATTAGAAGGATATTGCTGAACACACTAATTGCTTTGAAAAGTTTGGGTGCAAATACTGATCTAGGTTTGGACCACTGAGCTCATCTTTCACAGCCAGTTATCTCAGTTAAAGAGAGGTTAAACTATTGTTTTTCTGAAGGATTTGCATTGTACTTGCATTTTTCACTGCTGTTTCATGATACAAACGTGTGTAAACGGGAGGGGCTTGTTGGCCACGCAGTTGCACACTGAACAGAGAAGAGGATCTGAGGGTGGCAAACTCTTTAGGACCCTACTTTTCAATGAAATCGGCTGTTTATAATTAAGGGAGCTAGCGACTGTCTGTGTTAATATTCCAACACATTACAAGGCGTAGAAAATGTACACATTTGCAGAATAAGAGCATACTACTTCGATAGGGTTGGGATATGTTTTGCCAATTAAAAATATTTACCACTATTTAAAATAGCGACGGAAAGCCTGCCTAGGTGAGAGTAGATATATAAGCTTAAGATACACTAATCGTTAGCATGCTACCTGAATAATGATACGCCTATCCAAAACAGCCATCCTGGATCCTGTTTGTAAGTATATAAGCACTATATGTAAGCAGGGAAGTCTAGTTAGTAGGTGAATGATTAGAGGACCTTTGGCTGTGCCACACTGTGAAGATTATGGCTAGTTGCTTATCTGAACCCCTTTTACACTGAGAGTTGTTGGTGTTTGAAGCCTTTCAAGCTTTCTTTAAGTGTAATTGTAGTAGGTGAGCAAGTGGCCTACAGCAAGCTTGAACTGGTGCTAGTTGTGGGGCGAATGGGTGTGCTGTGTGCATTCATCGCAGGTACCTGCACTGCTTGTGACCTCTTGGGAGCTGCTGCCTGATGGTCCTGGCATGCTGTGAGGTGAAAATCTGGTAGGAGAAACTCCGCTGTTGAGTCACGCCTGGGTTATAAGTGTTTATGAGGGACAGGGAAGAGGCAGGCTGAAGGGGACAGCACATGGGAGAGAAATGGTATGAGTGACAGCCTCAGGAAAAATGAAGATGAGTGCGGTTTTGGAAAAAAAGGGAGGATGATGGAGGAGAGATGAAAGCAAGGTGTGTAAATTAAGGAGAGGAGATGCACTAAGGGTGACCATGGCATTATGCTGTTTCTCATTAAAGAGCATCATGTAGTACTATTGCTATCTGGGAAAAAAAAAGCCTGTTTTTTTTCTGTGGTTTAAAATGTCATCTAGGAAGTGCTGTAGTGCTTCAAACTACCAAATCTTTTGACACCATTGGTGGAAGAGTCCACATATTTTTAGCTTCAGATTTTTGCCTGTGATTCAGCCTGAACTTTTAAATCTCATTTCTGTAAGATTTGGTAGGAAAAATCCAGTCACCAGGCTAGTTGGTTTTGGTTTTTTGTTTTGTTTGTTTTGTTTTATATTATTTTTAAGAAAGACCTGGAGACTTAGCTGTGTTAGTTAGGATTCTGTTGGGATGCAGCTTCTAAACTGTGCACCAACATGATTAGAGAAAACAGATATTTTATGGTGTATCATATGCATGAAAAATTTTCACTTAACTGTAGACCTAGAGCGTTTACCTTGCAGAAATGCAGTGGATTTTGTGTCTCTCTTCACCCTTAGAGGCTTGAACCTGCGAGCTTTTTGGTGCATTAAAACTCATTCTGTTGCCAGTGAAAGCTGTCATGTCATAAAATAAAAGGTAAAAAGCTCTGCTGTAGTGGCTGAGAGAGTTCCCCGATCAGGTTGGATAACTCTTTGTGGTAAGATTTAGCCTGCAGGGCTTTTCTAAATAGCAGAATGGATCAAAGGATGTTTTAATTTCCTTGTGAGAGGAAAAACTCATCACTTTAAATCAGGGCAAAAATGAGTCAAATCAGTACCAGGAGCTTTTAATAATAATGCATTTCTCATGGCTGTAGTCAGTACAGGTCTCAACAGTGGGTGCTATATACAGCTGAAAACTTTATTCTGCGTTGAATATGACAAAGTGATACTGGAACCAATATTAGGAATTTGAGGCTTGAAAAAAAAAAAAAAAGAGGAACTCTTACATTGAGACCTATCTCTATTAGAGATCAGCCTGAACTGAGAAGGTTTGGCCAAACTTCTCCAAATTTCGACTAGTTTGTATCCAAGGCTAATTTCTTCTTCAGCCGTGATTACCTTTTAGGACGCACAGGAAAATTAAACCCCATTCAAGCACTGACCTTCACTGCGGAGTGAAGTAAAACCTGTATCTGACACTAACTTTCATTTAGTGTTAAGGAGTTAACCAGAGTACCAAATTCTAACATTGAAGACTCTGACATTTTGGAATATGAGAGCTAAATCTGTATTTTATAGCTTGAGTTAATCTGTGTTGTGAAGTGGTATTATAAGATAAATCTTTCTTGTCTTTGGAATTCAAGAACATACTGGACAGTTTTTCTGTTTGCTGTGTTCATCTAATGTGCTGTGACTAGGTAGTTAATGCACTTAGTTCAGTTGTTAGCAACACATCCTAAATGACTTCTCTAGACCGCTGCAATTCGAACACCATTTTTGGTCGGTGAGTAAAGGACAGCCTCTCTTTCCCCTTCTGTGGAATGAAATGGCTTCTCTCCTGAAGAATGTTTCTGTAGGATGCAATAATTTATTTTAACTGTGTTGACAGACTTTCAAAGCCATTATAGGATCTTGTTGCAAGCTAGCAAAGTTGTGCTATATATCAAATGATGCAAGTTAGCACTGAGATCACTAAATGACACTTACTTTGAATAGAGCTTTAAAAAGTTCTGTCCTGTAAATTTTGTAATTAGCAGTAGATCACCTCTTAACAAGTCAGTGTATAAGTGAGAAATATATCCAAGTGCTTCCTAAACTGGAGAAGTATTGGCTGGATACAACAGTGACCAGCAAACATGGTATAAAAAGCTATGAGTAGTGGAGAAAAGGATTAAGAAAAAGCTAAAGCTTTGTGTTACCTCAGCAAAAATAATTGAGTCATGCAGTTTTTTGGTGTAGCCGTGAAGTTATTAGCAAGGGAGAAAACAAACCACAATATTTTATTGTCCCTCCTTTAGATGGCAGGCCTCCAAGACCAAAAATAGAAGCAAATGTATATGGATATATTTCTTTGTTCCCATTTTTTCTTACTAGCATTTCATGTCCAGATAAAGACAGACAGACAGATGCTTCTTAATTATTTAGCAGCTTATTAATAATGCGTATTAATGTGTTGCTGCAGCTGCACTGGCCCTTTCTTATACATAAATTGCACTGTTCAGATATCCAAGCATACTACTGCAGTGTTTTTGATTTAGTTTTCTTTTTCTTTTTTTTCCAGGTTGACTTTGAACAACTCCAGGAAAACTTGTGTCAGATGGAAAGACGGTGCAAAGCATCATGGGATCACCTTAAGGCTATAGCAAAGCATGAAATGAGGCCAACTCTAAAGCAAAAAATGTCTGAGTTCCTTAAGGACTGTGCAGAAAGAATTATAATCCTGAAGATTGTTCATAGAAGAATAATTAACAGGTACAGCATTTGATTGGTGATAGCCATAGCAATATCTTGATAAATGGCTTGTTAAAATTATAAATTATGACATCATAAATATAATTTCTAAGTGTGTAATCCATATTCCAGCAAGCACATTCACCGGGATATAAATGGTGAGTACTTTGTCATAACACCTACTTAAGAGAGATCCTCACTCCAGAAAGTTTCAGTGTTTCTGATGAATTCACCAGATTCCTGTTGTCTATCATATGCAGTGTACAAATAAGAAAAATAATCTTTTTTCCTTTTATGTACTGCAACTACTACTGTAGACTTCCCTAAAAAAATGCATTCATGTAAATGCATCTATCTGGGATTGGAGAAAACTTTTTATTGTCAAGGATATAGATGTAGTTAAAGGGATTGACATGCATTTAAACACTCAGTGTGCTATTGTAAATCATGCAATATAGAAGCAACAATAAAAGTTGCAAATAGTGCAAAAGCTCAGAATGGCACAGAAGTAGTAAAACTGTGAATTGAGAGTATCCCAAACTGAAGTACTTAGGAGTTAATATAGTTTTATGGTCATTTTTGTGAACCAGAAATTCTTTTCTTCCTCTGTTTGCTAGCCTGTAAATCTGCATTCTTCTTGTCTAGACTTTCCCCAACATCCTAACAGCCTCTTTTGAAGTTGCTTAATGCAAATAAATAGATTTTAAACTTAATAGATGTTTTTTTCTAGAACTGAAATTGCTCATTCACATGCCAAATTAGTAATATAAAGTAGATGGAGTTCCATAAACATCTTATCTCCTGCATCAGCCTGGGAAAATGGGCTGGGATGAAGTTATCATAGACTAGACTTTCATGTTTTTGATTATAAAGCATGCCAGTGTTATGCAAAGCATCCATGAAAATTTTGTAGCACAAAAGAAATGTTGGGAGTTAATAAAATAATAAATGGATTCACTGAAATGCTTTTTTTTCCTAGAAACTGAGAAAGATTTTTTTCATGAACTCATTGTTTTCCAGGTTTCACTCATTTTTGTTATTTATGGGCCATCCTCCGTATGCAATACGTGAAGTCAACATCAATAAGTTTTGCAAAATTATTAGTGAATTCGCTCTGGAATACCGCACCACCAGGGAACGAGTTTTGCAGCAAAAACAGAAACGAGCTAACCACAGGGAAAGAAACAAGACCAGAGGGAAAATGATCACAGATGTAAGTGGCAAAATATATCTACCACAGTGTGGCTTTGTAAAATTTTTTTTCAGTGAATGTCACATACGAAGTGTTTTTTTTTTTTTATTTTTATTCTGAAGGAGGAGTTCTGCTGTAAGTAATGAACTCTATTCTCTTAGAAGTTGAAAGCTGCAAGTCATTGATTATGGATATTTTTTGCTTCACACCCATTTATAGAATGTGAACAAGCGAAGATTAAACATCTAAAAAGAACATCTCTCTGTTGCACAGGCAGTGCACAGAAGCTCTAGAATACAGCACATTTGTGTGTACCTAATCAGTCAAGAATATAAAAAGGTGAAACTAGAAAATTAGGCTCCTAATTGAGGACACAATTCAAAGGATGAACCATACATTTAAGTGATTACAATTGAATGTAAAATGGTATTTTAATATCTGTTCTTGAATATTCTAACATGCATTCTTTAGTCTTACTCTTTTATATTTATATATATACACACACATGTGCATACCAACACACATACACAGAACAATTTCCTTCTTAACTTTAAAGCACAAAGTAGCCAACTTTATGGGAACAGACTACTCTGGGGCTCTGAAAGAACTGATGAATTTATGTGCACGTTAGGTGTTTCCTTGCAAACCTTGCTGACTGTATTCTTGCTATATTGGTAAAATAAAGTAAGATTAGTTTTCTCTGCATAGTAAACTTCAAAATGCCTTTTTTTTTATCTTTTTTTAAGCTGATGTAGTTTGACTCAATCCAAATAAAGTTTTAAGACGTGCCAATACTTAATAAAAGTTTCCAGCTGTCTCAGAATCCAAATCTGGAGTCTCGATTAGATGTGAGTGGTTCGTCACACATGAAGCTACCCCTGCCTTTGGCATGAAAGGTCCTAAGTTGGTTACAGTTCTATGGTCAAAAGCTCAGGCAACTTAGGTCAAAAAATATATGTATGTATGTATGTATGTATATATATGTGTGTGTATATATATATATATATGTATATATACATATCAGAAACAAATTGAGATTGTATTTAAGTCATTGAATCACAATCATTTGTAGATCTTTCCTGGCAATATCCTCTTTAAATTTGGAAATCTGCTTCATCTAGAGGGAATGCTAAACCTGTATTATTATCTCAAAAGATTTTCCTTTTGGTCTTGCTTCATGTTAAGGAAGGGACTCTGATTTTATTTGAAGGGTATAATATAGTCATAAGAATTTTCAAAACTGAGACTTTTTTCTTCAACTGCTGCGTGGTTTTTCTGCAGTACTGCAGAGGGGTTAAAAGATAGCGGTGCCCAAAGAGATCGGTAAATTAAAAATTCCATTTCATTAAATAGCTTCAATACTTTTTGCTAATTTAGATAATACTAGCTAAGATGTGCAGGAGTTCCCGTTTTCCTGGTACGTGACATAGTGTTTCTATATTATCTGTCCAGGAGAACTGGCTGTGGCAGAACTGAGAAAGCTTCTCTAAATCTTTTGCCTTCACAAAATCTGATCACCAGATGCTCTAAGTTCAGGAAATAGGGAGCAGTGACCCTTTAAAAAAAGAAATAGCATCAGGGTTGATGGCTAGTCAGTGAAGAGCAAAGCTGGAGACGGTGGCTGTTTTCTGAAAATTTAAGAGAGGATAAGAGGAGGCAATTAGGCCTTTCCCAGAAAGGTGTATTATAGGAAGAAGATGTCTATTCAGCTCAAGATGGTGTTGAGATTTGACAAGAATTAAATGCCATCTGACAGCTAGTATTCCACCTAAAATCATTTTCCAGGTCCCCAGAAAGGGAACAGCTGCCCATCGCTAATTCGTAGTTATATGATGGTCCTATTAGCTAAAAAAGGCCTGTGAGAGTAAAAAAGCGTTCTTTGACATTCCCTTGTTAGAGATTTCCTTTAAAGGGACCATGTGGCTACTTTGGGACTTCTTAAAACTATTTAACTGTAGCCCAGTAATGTGGCCTCATTTTTCATTCACTGGATTGCAGTACATGGTAAAATAGAATTAAAGTTGCATCAGATTATTTGTCACAGCTTCCTTTGAGAACTTCAAAGTCAGATCTACCTCAAAACAAGATTCCAGGTCAGCAGGGTGGAAGTTATTTAGGCATGGAGGATGATGAAAAAGGGGAGTTTTATTGTAGTATCATGTTGGCTGTGGTTTATATCTGTTTCTGATTTTCTTAGTGTTTTATATTTTTATGCATTGGAAAGGAAAAGATGTATCTGTAATGCATTGATAATATGTTGAACTAATTAGAAAATACTGATTTAAGAAATTTCAGGTCTTGACATTGGAAAGAAACTCTTTGTAGAAAGTAATTCTAATAAGAAATAATCGCGTGGAATTTTAATGTCTGCTTTTAGGAACCTAAAAGGATTGTGCAGCGATTCCACCAACACTCACTAGAACGGACGTTACTTGATATTTGCCTCACTCTATCCTTTTGAGAGTCTCCTCGGGATCCCATTTTTGTCACCTTGCAGTGCACTGTTTTCAGGCAGAAAAAGGGGGATTGCAGCAAAATGGGAAATGAATAAGCCAGAAAACCTAACCAGTTCAGTTCTAAACAAGAAGGCACCTATCTCTGAATCCTCAGGACCCCTTGCAGACTTGGGAGGCAGAAGGGTGCTGGCTGTTTGCACGGAGAACTTTCCTCACCTTCAACAATTCCTCGTGTGGCAGAGGGCACTATGAGGAATACTTCCAGTTTTATTCTTTAATACTACGATCTTGATATGTTCTTTAATAGCTGAAATGGACTGGGCACTGGCAAATTATATCTCACAGAACGTTGTCTGCATAAGAGAGGGAGGTCAGGAAAAAAGTGCGGTGGGGAGAACAGTGAGTCGCCACAGTTTCAAAGGGAAGCTTACATCTGGCTTTAGCCAGTGATAGCAGTCACTCGTTTCAGGCACGCTAAAAATAATAAGCAAGTGAAATAGGGAAGAAAAGCAACTGTAGAGATAGAGACTGAGGGTTTTTTTTTTAATGATTTTTAATAATGGTAGGTAATATAAGCATCCGTCTCCTAGATTTATGAAGCTCTGCTTTTTACGATACTTGAGAGTTTCAATTCCAGAATTGCTATGTAATAGAAATAATATTTTTAAATGGCAAAATCCACTACATGCAAGTGCTAGCCTAAAGGAAAAAAGGGAGGGTGGGCGGAGGAGAAAACATGCTGGAGGATCTCCAGGAATTATCTTGTGACATCCAGTATAGATAGAAGAATTGAGCAGTCTTTTTTCTTACAAGTAACAGCTTGTGCCTGCAGGAGGTGTTCAGTGTAGGAATATTCTTCTAGTGCTGTTTGGTAACATTACATCTGTTAGTATTTTCCTAGCTTATTAACATTTCTCAGTGTATTTATAATGATGAAGTGAAGAAGCAAAGAAAAGGCATAATAACATACACACTTGGGTGAGAGCAGGTTGCCTTCCCGAAAGAACAAAGTTTAATTCATGCATTTGGCTACTTTAGCTCCTCTCCTCAGTACTTGCTGGGGGTAGGTGATTCTCCAGACATGGAAATATGAACGGGACCGTGAACTGCTCCTCCTGTGTGCTGGAGAAGCTTTGGACGTGGATACCAGAGATAAGCAAAGACAAACACAGAGTAGTACGTTGCCTTTAACAAAAGTCCACAGCAAATTGCTTTTACCTAGATCAAAAGGGGAAGAAGGCTAGCAGCTGTGACTTTGCCTGTTTATATCTAGTTTGATTATAATGTAATAATATAATACACTTTTGTCAGGAGCACAGTCTTCGTAATGTGCTTACTCTGCTCTTTCCCCTTTCCCCGAGTGCCTTTTGCATATTGTTTAGCTTGATTTGTTCTCCTGCTACCTTTTATTTATTAGATAGTTTTACATATGGAATAGAATACAAATATGTTCTTGCTTCCCATTCTTCTCCTTTCTGTTTCTCATTTGTGCCAAAAAGTGAACAGTGGCCTTTTTCAGAATTGCGTTGTGGTGTGATTCCCCCCCCGCTCCTGGCCCCTGGGGGTTGGAAAAAGCAAACGGATCTTTTCATAATGCAAAGGGAACATACCTGCCCAAGTCCCTCTGCAAAATATCTGCCTGTGTTTCTGTCAGTGCCACTGTGTCCAAAGGAAAATAAGCATCTCACTCTTTGAATAAAACATACCCTTAAAAAGTAATGTTAATGTGCTGCTCAGCACTCTCCCAGCTAATCTTCTTATGGAGATTGTGCCGAAACTAACATGAGGGCCAAAGTAAATGAGGCCTTCGTTTTTAATGATGAATGTTTCTGGAACAGAATGTATCAATCCCAGAAAAAAATCATAATTGTGAAGCAGATAAGGTTGAAAGTATGTATTAGTAACACAAGGGAGGGGAGTGGATTTAGTGGAATGCGTCTTTTAAAAACAAAACAAAACCCACAAATAAAAATAGATACACCAGAATTTTGGGGTTATGATTACACTTTAAAAACAAAAAATAAAGAAAATCTTGGAAACAAGGAGCCCAGAGGCTTGAGAAACTGTTTCACATTGGGAACCCTTCACATGGAGTGTCTTACAGTCCAGTGAAGGTATTTGTGAACACAACTCTAAATATTTTGTAATTCCCTTTAAAACCCTGAAATTTAAGAAAACTTCCCATCCTGTAACGTTTTGATATGCCAACTACATTTAATGTATCATGACTCTCAAGATAGTTGTACGTGCCTGGTATCACGGAGGATGAAAGTCCTGAATGACGAAGGATAATTGCACCTTTAATTTACACGGTCTGGTATCAGGGAGCTACGGAAGAACTTTAAGCATATATTCAGAGACGCCCCAGCACTTGATTGCAGGGCTCTCTTAAACTGGAGCTTAAAGTTGAATTAAACATAAAAGCCCAGCTTAAAAAAGCCCCCAGCTTAAAAAAGAATTAAAACAAGCACTCTCAGGGTAGAGAAAAGGAATTGCCAAGAAGCTGACCTCTGCGCTGGGAGAAAGAGCAACCAGGACCTCCCTGTTCTGCACACACTTGGAAAAAGGAGAGAGAGTCCTTTCTAGCGCTCTCACTTTCCAGAGGGCAAAGTATGGGCAGGCAAGAGCATGACTCAAGGGAGAAATATGGGATGTGTTAAGGATGGTTTCAGTTCGTAATTTCTCTCAGAAAAATCTATTTAAAATCTCATCCTCCTGACAGTGACAGTCTGTACTGTGTGCAATGGGATTACTGTTCATTGACTAAAAGGGATTAGCAAACTGATCGTCTAAGACATGAATTCCATATATGTTTTGTATTTGTACGTCCTCCTATAATTGCTTCAGCAATACTACAGTTACCTCTTACTCTGCTGCGGTTTGACCATACTGTCCTTCCTAAATCTTGCTGTTTGTCCTTCTCTGCCCTGTCCTTTGTCTCTTTTGGCAGACTGATGAAGAGGAGGATGCTGAGGTATGGTTCTTTGAAAAAGCATGTCATTCCCATATCCCTTGTGTGCTGTGACATCTAATTTCTAACCCAGTTAGCACAGGCTGCTCAACTCCATCTGCTCAACTGGACTATGAACCAGGATATTTTTTCTCATAGCTTTTTGGCTCTGTTGGAAGAATGCATTTTTACAACCAGCTTTCACCATTTGCTTAAATGCTCTCTCGAATAAGGATATCCTGATTCGAGGCCTTAATTATTTGAAGTTTCCTATTTTCTTTTCCTCAGTGTCTGTTTACTAAACTGCAAAGTATCTCTACTACCCAAAACATCAATGATCTGAATGTTATGGGTACCACCAGTTATCCTCCGTTAAGGGTTTCCTTGATAATTTCACAGTCACTGTGAAGCTGTATAAGTCTAAATATTATTATTTTATGAGGTATTCAAAAGCATCAAGCTATATGGATGCAAAGCAAATTGTAATAACTCTGTTCTTGCTGTGTGATTTGCGCAAAAGATGCGTCAGTCCCCAAAGAGGTGAGCCATGGAGTAGTTCATGTATTTATCCTCAAGTACTCCTGAAGATTGAGAATGAATAAACGAGTGAATAAATAACATAAGAACTATAATGCATGAGCTATATTCACAATAAAGCAATCTATCGGTTTGGGAGTATCTCTCATACATTGCATTTTTTGTTCAATATTAGCACTTTGTTCAATTATCTGACCATAAATGATGTGGTTTGATGCTCAGTGTTTCATAATGGCAGTCATTTGCTTAAGAGGCTAGGATTTGGGCATTAATTTACACAAACATCTGAAAATGAAAGAAGAAGAATAAAACTTTTGGCTATAGAGCTTCTCCCCCAGTGATGATTTATTACAAAAAGTAATTTTCTTGCGCCAACATTTAACTAAGCTGTGTGAATTCTAACTAATAGTTATGGGAAGACATCATCCTTTTTTATTTTCTGAGATGGGAATTGGTCAGCTTTACAACCCATTGTATGCAAAACTGCATGCACTTTAATAGAAGTTTCTGTCTAATGTTTTTCCATCTTTTAATTTCACATGATAGTCCAACACTTGCACGCTTTCCACATCAAAATGTTGCAAGCTAACATTACAAAAAGAAAAACTTCTCACTAAATAAATCTCATACTAGTATATTTAGCTCAGTGCCTTGTAGGGATTATTGTTTTGCTATTCATTTTACTTGCTAGTCTACTCTGAAAAGTCACTATGTTAAAATAGCATCATCTTCTCATTGATGTCCAGATTAAATATTTTCAGTGCAGTCTAACAGCCCTGTGGACTCAGCCTACGCTCTGAAAGTAGGGCTGATTCGTTTCTTCCAATTTACCATCGTCTGAAAGAAAGGCTTTGTAGGTTTGTGTCGCTGTAACTGGCTGGCTTGATGACATCAAGTGAATAAATAATGTTTATTGTGCAAAGGAAGAAGAGAATGCAGCACACCTGCCTCTGTCGGTGTTGAATCTCTAGGAATAGCAAAGGTTAAAAAGAAAAAAAAACGTGTTTCATTTTCTGATGCTGGAGTGATATGACTGAAACTATCAAGGGAGCAGATCTCTTGATGTCTGCTTGCTGCTGAGAGCCTGTCTTTTTCCAGGGTAGAACTGCATTTTAAATTTACTTTAGTGTTTCTGTAGATAAGAAGAATGGAGTGAATATCAATATCGCCTTTTGTAGGCATGGGCTGGTAAAGGCAAAAAAGGCAGCCTACTCCTCCCACTTTCACAACACAACGGCGTCTTACGAATTTGTATTCTTCTGCAAAAGCTCTCCTTAGAAAGCGTCAGTTTGTGCTGTGATTTACCTGGCCACGTTTCTAGAGGGATTTCTCCAGTAACTGGTGCCTCCTGTTGCAGTAGGCGCTGCCGCGTGTGTGCGGCACACAACAGTTCACCACTGTTGTGCCTGTTGTTGTGGTGACAGGGAAATCACAGGGAGGCCGGGGAAGCAAAGGGCAGATTCCAAAATCTGCTTAAGGTTTTGTTTTGTTCGCCCAGCGGCTGACTGCAACGTTTGTGTTTTGGCCATAGAAGAGTTTGGCTGGCGGTTTTAGGATGGGGTTTTTTTTGGGTGTGCATTTGGTAGGATATTTTAAATGTACAGCAGGTGTTCGTGCTCTAGAGCAGTCTGAAAGCTTTCGGTGCAGCCGTGCGGAAAGGCAAGAGGAAAGGGGGTTGCAGAGACCGCTTTGCCAATTCTGCCTAGTTACCGAAAGATGATGGTACAGGAAAAAAACAATTTCTTATTTGTGGCAGGTCTCATGCTGTCCCCCTGAGTGTAATAGCTGACCCCAGACTAGGCCCTGCCCCGGTCGAAGGTTTCCAAGCAAGTCTTGGCTTTATACCTTATACTCTTGGGTAGAAGGTCAAAATTATTATAAAGCCGCAGCTAATGCACCTATTTTTCTCTGATTTTATCTGCTCCTTGATACCACCCTGTTTCTGGTTTATTTTCGCTCCAGGGGACGTGGTGTCAGGCAGGAGCACGTGTTTGTTTTTACTCTTTGGAGAGCGTCCACCATCTAAAGCAGTCTGGGAGGACAAAGGCCCTTGTGTTTTTCGCCGTGCCGTTCACGGCCTGAACGTTGGCCTGTCCTCTTTGCTGTTTGCGCTCTGTAGAGCTAAAACCTGCCCCGGGGCCATGTCGCTTAAACGGCAAATCGGTTTTCCTCCCGCAGACTGGCAAGTTCTGCAGCAGCTCGCCGCCGTCCCAGAGCCAGCCGCAGGGGCTGCAGTACGCCGAGGACGCGGCCGAGCACGAGCACATGAAGGCAGTGCTGAAGACCTCCTCCGTCGGCGGGGAGAGCACCGCCGCGCTGGGCGTTCGCACGCGGAGCAGAGCCAGCCGAGGTGAGCGCCGGGCTTTTACTGCGGGCCACAGCTGTTGCGACCCAGTAGCCACGCGGCAGCCTGAACCGCCTGCACAGAAGCCTACGATGCAAAGGGTCAAAAGGGAAGGGGCGGGGGCAAACGTGCTATTTCCATCCTGGAGTTGGTGGTTCGAGGCATGGGGACGTAGAAGACTTTGCTGAAAGTTTGACGTGTTGATTGCAGCCGAGACGGTGTGAGGGGGGGCATACAGAGTGAAACCCTGCAGGAATCTTCACCTCTCCACCTGTGAACTTGGCTGCCCTTTAACACCCCCGTTTTTATTCCTCTTTTTGTTGCTAAATCAGAACAGCATCTACACCGTCTAGATTTCTATGGAAGTAAAAGGGCCTTTGCAGCCTTTTAGGAGTGATTAGGGAGTGCAAAACAATGGCGAATCTTTTAACCGGTCCCCTGCTAAACAGCAATGCTGCTGGATTAGTGCAGCTGAGGAGCATGCATCTCCTTGCTGTCCTGACAGATACCTCGTCCTCTGAGGCCCGCAGCCTCTGCTCTTTCCAAGTGTCAGCGCTGGTCATTTCTGAAAGCTGACACAGAGGAAATGAAAACCCAACTCAAGCTGCTGTTTCCAACACCTGATATTCTGACAAAAGAGTTCACTGGTACAACCATCCTTGGCAGCGAGATATCTCCATTTCTTGTCCAAGACATGATTCACTGGTATACCTCTTTGTAAGAGCAGCCAGTAAACCACTTCCTTCTTGCTAAATCATTTTACAGACATTGGGCTCAGCTTTTTTTTCCCCCCTTCTTTCGCCTTCCTCTCGTACCACGTATGTGGTTTCACAAATGATACCTGGAAGATGATTTTTGAGTAAAGGTCATGCACCAAAATTTAAGCTGTTAAATTTCTGTTCTGGTGTTTCTTTTCCTTCACACCTGGATATCTTAGGCTTTCCTGATTCCTTTTTAGCACCACTGATACCGCATCGAGAGCATCCACCATTCATGGGCATTTTTCCGTGTGCTGCTTATTAAGGCTTTAACCCTGATCCTGTCCAGTTTAGAGGTTTCACAGCCCCCACTTAAGAAGCAAACTAAGTAGCTAAAGTACACAGATGAAATAATGCAAGCTGCTCTGCAACAGGCTGAGTAGCTGAAATAATCCCTGCAGGGTCCTGATAATAAGAGTCAGCCTGTGTTCCCCTGAAGCACAGCAGAGGCCGTGAGCGAGTGCGCCAGACAGAAGCCTGTTCGGAGCACTATCATAACAGAGCTGCTCGTGACAAGAGCCAGGAAAAAGCAGGGGAATGGGCTGCTAATCAAAATTCTTGTTTACTGACATCCGGGAAGTGATGCGGAGTGGTCTCACCAGGGATTTTTTAGCTGTTTGCAATTTTACCACACCCACTCTTTTGCAAAGCTTATCGTCAGTGTTCTCCCTACATCCGTGCCTTCAAATAATTCAGAAATGAAGAGCACGCCGAACAGTAGTTCACAGTGGAGGAATCAAAAGATGCATCTGACACAGAGCTCGGAGGAGTAAGGAGTGCCAGAGCCTTGGATTCAGAGACATGGCTAGCTTGTTTGTTTGTGGTTTTAACCGAAATTGCTTGTTTAGCTTTTCAGCTTGCCAACAGCTCTTGCTTTTCTACTTATAACAGAGCACATGCAGTTGTGCCAGGACAGATACAACTTTGTGATGAGAAGGTAAATTCTTCCTTGTGAAAGGGACAATGAGACATGTCAAACCACATTTTTTCCCTTGTCCTGTCCTCTCTGCAAGCCTGTAATAACAGAGGCTTGGAGATGGATCATTTCTCTCTTTTGGTACGGAGGACCTGTCTTGCAGATCTGCACCAATTTCTCTGCCATCTCTTCTAGTCCCTGTGTAATAGGAGCACAGGGAAACATGTCATGCATCACTCCAGCTGTCCCTGGCTTGTAGACAGACTCTAGCAGACTGTTGCCAGTTGTATGGTCAAGCATAGGACTCTGAGGCTGAGGAGAGAAGAAAGATTATAATTGCGTTTGAGCTCTCCAGTCTCTGCTGATGCAGCAGAGAATCTAGGGTGTTATTTTAAAATGTTCTGCATTAGGCAGTCTTCTACTTTGACCGATTTGAAGTAGCAATGACTGAACTGCCTGCTGTAATTCTACAAAAACCCAATTGCAAAACCAAAGTGACGCAAGAGACTTCTGTTTTCCCTCAATTTTGTTTGCTTGCTTTTTCCAGGCCGTGTTGGTTCATGGAACGCTGGCAATGATGATTCACCTAATGCAACGGATGATGCAGCGGACGAGATCATGGATCGCATTGTAAAGTCCGCCACCCAAGTGCCAAGCCAGCGAGCGGTGCCTAGAGAGAGGAAGCGGTCACGAGCAAACAGGAAGTCATGTGAGTTTATGGCCATTAAACTTCTCAGAATAAACATGTGCATACCTGTATGTATGTAGGTGTAGGAACTTGGCCTTTAGTATGGAGACATGCATTGCTAATACACAGTAGCTTGGGCGTGTATTTATGATTGGCATATATGCTTTTTATTATTGGTTAAACATTATTGCGTGCAATGGGTCGCTCTGTGTTCTAGAGCACTTGAAATGTCCTCAGCAGTAAGAGAAGAAAAATGTGTTATGGTGCTTCAGAGCTTCTCTGATGACAGTATTTACTTGTAACTAGAGAAGTCAAACCAGGACCTCAAAATGGAGACTGGTACTATGAACTAGTTTAAAAAACAGTAGTTGTATCTGTAGCTGAATTTATTCATAAAGCAAATAGTAGCTTGAGAGGTTTTCACCTTTTAAAATCTTTCTCTATTGTGCTGTACGCCCTCCTTTTGCAGCCCTGAAAACAAAATGTTTGTTTATTCTAGTGCTGTTTGGCTGCAAAGTGGTTATAAACTAGGTTAACTTCCCCTGGGAAGACAAGGTAGCCCATGTATAAGACAGTCTTCCAATGGTGCGGTACGGCCACAGGACTGAGCTCGGGCACCTGAGTATGAGCAATCTGATTTTGCAGTTCAGTAAGTACAGTGTTTAAGAGGTGGTGGTCTTTCTAGTTTTTTTTCCCCTATGTGCAAGGATTACTGCAATCCCTATGGCAAAAATAAGTACCTGAAGAACATAAAGATTATGATGTTTAATGTCATTCAGCATATGTGGCTTTTTGACTACCTTTCCATCCATCTTTTTAGCATTTCTGGGAAGTTAGGACAAAGAGGAGACAACAACAGTGAGTGCAAAATCACACAGACGTTCTTTTGTTGTGAAATTGTTCTAATAATAGTTGGTGATCAAAAGCATTTGGTATAAGCAGTAATTGATCGCTATAAGCTGGCGTGTGCTGAAAGCGTATTCACTTTCCTCAACATGCTAAGAAAGAAACTTCTGCATGTGGCAAGAGTACAAGCAAAGTGGGCATACTGTTTAGATGAGCCAGACTTTCAGCAAAGAAAATGAGCTGACGCTGGATTGTCCGTCTCACTTTCCATCATGCACTGTGCTGTATCTCTTTGCGACGTCACCTTCTGCTGCTACCCACTTCCCCACACAGTTGTGGTGCTCCGCACATGTGCTGACTGTCCTAGTTGGCTTGTGCATATCAAACAAAGCTCCTGTATGTTTGCCTATTTCTGTGGTTTACCCCATGCTGAACTATTCCTCTGTTAGCAGCACTGTCCCTACGCACACACACCGAAAAGCCATATTTCTGCTCTTTACCAGGTATCTTTTTCCCAGGGAAGCACTTGCTGCAGCAAAAGAGGATGACGATAATAAAAATACTATATATTTTTCTATGAAGCTGGCTTTCATACAAATTTAGTGAAGACATTAACAGGGATTAGGGATTCAGTAAATGTTTAGGCTGGGACTGATTTCCACTGTAATTAATCATGATAGAATCCAGCTCTTTTGCTTGTTTGTTCTTCAAAATCTGGACGAGACTCTTAAGTGGATTAAAAGGCAGTTTCAAAACAAACATAAAGTTCAGTAGTTTAGCGTCCCTTTCAGCTGACGTGTGCTGAAAGAAAGTGTGAAAGGAGAATATCTTAACTACACTGTTTTGCTGTGATAGTAGACATACCTGGATGATGAATAAATGAGGTAGTTTAGCTTTAAAATACACTCAGCTGGGCTGATAATATGGCACCTGAATGTGTTCCAGGAAAGGAGCAGAGAGCAGCTCCTGTTAGTGTATAATTGTAAGTTAGATTAGGAGAAAATCTTCCTAGTAGAAATATAACATAGGTCCTGCATGAACATATTATGAAGTAGATCTTAGGCACACTTGAATGATTTAGTTTAGCAGACTATATGATATCTATTATCTGCTGAGCAAAGAGGCCTGGTTGATTTGATTCACGAGGTTCAATCTTCAGGTTCCCATACATGTCTTTTGGCTTTTGCTTGACTTTGGCATTCAGACTATTTGTGAACACCAAAGTAAAACTCAGTTAAAAGAAACAATTTTCCCCGCGTGTTGTGTTGCATATGTCTGATTGCTGTTAACACAGAACTGAAAATCATGAGGCTCACTTAATATTTAGCAAAGTTTTCAGTGAACCTGCACTGAGTTCTGTATTTTAGCAAAATCAGAAACCCAAAAGATTTATATTCATTTACACTGTAAATATTTCCTGTGGTTCAGGTGCAAGGTTCTCATGGGAGAGGCATTTGACAGGGAAATACAGAAAAAGTTGAAGTAAAAGCAAGTGATACTCATCTATAATTAGGAGTAGAATAGAAACAGGAAAAGGTTCAGTTACATTTAAGAAATAGTTTTAATGGGAAAATGAGGTATTTTGACAAGTTCAGTTGAACCACTTTACCTTTTGCAATTGTTGAGCAGTGCAACTGTAGGTGGTAGGCAGAGAGCTTGGTTAGATATTAATGATGTGGAAGAGTCTGAGATCTCAAAGCAGTCAGCAGAAGCATAACATGTGAGGCGGAACAAGGCAGTGAGGTGTCCAAGAACAGAGGGAAACGTCTGCATCTGTTGGTATAGCCGTGGAAAATACAAAGGTCACTGATAAATCCGGATACGACTGAAGGTGACTGAGAACTAGTAGGAAGGAATTTGTTCAGCA